TAGTGATAAGGTAGCTTGCTCGAATATAGAGCGAGTACGAGTTATAGACAGGGTCATGTTGTACTGAATATTTCACTAAATTGTAGTGAAACTTGGAAACCCACCTGCCGCCACGTGTCTTGTTATACTGTCAAGTTTGAATGTACAATAAACGTGCGAAATCTATATGTGCCTAAGTTGTTTGTGTCACCGATCTCTGCTTCCTAAATACTATTTCATACTTTATTTACAATCCATGGAACCTGCAAGCGAAAGCGGCAGTCGAACCCGAGTGTGTAGGTAACGTTTCGTTACAATTGGCGCCCATGTAGGGACCCAGTTCGTTCTATATTAGTCACCGAGGTGGTCGTAACTTTGTAGATGGAATATAGTTTTGGTTCGGTTATATAAAACCCTATATATAGCCCAAAGTTGTAGATTTTAAACTTTATTACGTGTTGTATAGACATCTTTTCCTTTTCATCGTATTTCAACAAACATGTACGTTTCGGAACACTTCAGACATGCTGTTTGTCATTCGTCCTACCCTAAGTACCTATGATGAGTACACAGTGGACGAGATGACCATATGGTACGGCAAATATTTATGTTTTTTGGCTTACTCATTCGACTTACTTAACTTCTTAACTTTGTATTTCAAGTGAAAGTCTTTTTATTTGATGTTCACTGAAGCACAAAATACAGGTCGTTAGCCTAGATCTACCATGGAGTTCACGACATCTTCCTGGTCATGGTCATGGTCCATCTCGCCTATAGACGGGAGGTTTGAACACCCGATTTATACTAACATTACTTTGTTGTCGTCAAGATGAGCACTGGACTGTTTCGTCTAAGGGTTCAAGGGTCTAGGTCGTCCTATTATCTTCCCTTTTCCGTTAGCTGGTTTCTCCTATGCAACTTTGGTTAGATTTTTGTAAGAAACATGTAAACAGGTTCAGTGAAAAAGTAGGAATAATGGCTCTATCATATTTTGATAACATCGCTATATGTCCTTACCTGTTGTAAATATGTCGATAACCCAGTCAGTGGAGGGCTTTGTTGTGCGAACAAAAACAATAATGAAAATATTTATCATAGATATTTAGCGGTTAATACATTTTTTTTCTGACATTCAAACAAGCAATTTATTTCGAATTAATTGGTTGTTATGGAACCCGTTTCCAGACAGTAGTATCTGAATTTTGAGATTTAAGGACTATCAAAGAGCCCTACAGATGCTCTACTGTACACTAAAAATCCTGTCACAAGGAGATTTTGGGGATGTAACACGCTGTTACATGTCTGATATAGCTGATCGTTAGTGTCGATCACAATGAAGAGGCTGACGTTATGTTTCCTGAATAATTGAAATAGTATACCATATATATTGAATTCTTAAGTAGAAAGTACTCCTATACCTCCTTTTTTGACAAGATCAAAATTGCATATCATTATGTAGGAATATGAAGATTATGGAAAGTTTTAGTATAAAATATGTAGGTCAGAGCCCAAACAAGGCTAGGTTTTTACACCCTCAAGTAAAAATTTCCACATCATCTACATCACAATTGACGACTGAATTTATTTCATTTCATTTCACTGAATTCGCAAAATCTGCCTTATCAGGCGCTAACTACTAGTCCTATGCCACCTGGCTAATATCTCCCTTTAGGTGTATGCCTGCGTCTGTGCTGGAGATGTATTGTGTTCTGTTTGTAGTGGGACCATGCTTCCAACGGCATCATTTATAGTGCCACCTCCCTTGAATGTTACAACACAGATACTGCAACATCCACCCCAGACCGTTTTATACTCCACCTGGGTTTTCTGAGTTCTGTGGGTAAAAGAAAAACACTTTCACAGAATATAACATGCGTGCGACAACTTCGAGGATCAAACCCCGGCCGCCTGCGTGGAAGGCCAAAGTTTTCCACACAGATCCATCCGCCAGATCTAACATCTAACAAAAAACATCCCAAACAAATAATAAAATATATATTTATAGACATCTATATATATTTAAGTATGTATAATATACAAAGCTTATGTTATAAATCACAAGGACTCTATTTCGTGCCTACAGTTATATGTTTTTTTTTTACAATAATACTAATATATAATCAGTATAAACTTCATAGGTATGTTGTTTATGTCAAATAATACATTCATGACCTCCATTTCAAGGACGATGTTACCATAGTATACGCCTTACATGTAAATTGCATTGTTTAAAATTAAAGAGGATTTGGCGAGATATTAAACATGCATGTTTTTATCTCATCATTGGTCACTTTTACATTGCACTAATGCGTAGGGTGTTAATTTCAGTTTATCCTGCTGCTTGTCTGTCAAGAGTCAAGATTTAATTCCATCACGATAACTTTCCTAAACATCTTCCCATATCAACCAGTTTTGGTCAGGAGATGTATTGTCCAGTTACTAAAGTTGAATTGACTGCCAACTTTACCCTTGGAAATTCACGTATATCAGCTACTATTCCATCTGCTTTGTTGATGTTTTCTTCAAAATAAAGGAGTAAATGTGGTCGGTATTTATAAATAATTGGTCGATAGGCAACCTATTTCATGTACAATAGATTAAACTTAGTTAAGTAATTCCACGACTTTGTTAGTTTTGACTCACTTTGTCCTTGTTTGTCAGGTGTACGGCTCTGATGATATGGTGCCCGACTCTGCCGCCACAGCCAGCACCCTGATGTGTGGGTACACGTGATCCGGTATCCATCTCCGATTGTGTCGCCTCTAAAGCTGAGAACATGAAAATGACGTGCATTCTCGACCATTTTATAGATGACGGTAATTGATCAGTTTAATTTAATTTTTCAATTGCAATGATAATACGTATAATATATATGAATCAATATGAAGGGGGCAAACTACTGGAAAAAGTATACATACTTAATGTATGAATGATGATATTGAAATGTAATTTGAATTACACGTGCAGGTCGGTCTACAAGGGCAGTGACATCTGTCCGTGTGCTTCACGCCACGCCTGCTTCTGTTTATGCACATACATCCAATAGGGATTGGGAGGGGGACGTTTAAACAGCCGGTCTCCCCGGAGACTGTAAGGATATCGCCTAACAACTGATATACGACAACAACAACATCAACGTACATTTGTAAGTAGTTTAACTGCCTCAAACTGCGACATATTGGAATAAGTGATAACACTTATGTTTAATCAGAAAAACGATAATATGTCGGATAATTGAATCACTAATTGTATTTATGTTTAACTAGAATTTCCGTTTTTGTGAAAAAAAATTAACGCAGGAAAATATTAAAGTTTTATCAAAAGTTCGCAATGCTGCTCAACTTATCTGAATTTACGAAGGTTTATTTCACATCATTGTGTTATTTGGTATAATACGTTTTGATTTGCTAAGTGTTTGTCGAATGCTCCTTTCTTATTTGGATCAGATGTCTAAAAAACGCATTTCCTTTCATACAGAACCACATGATACTTCAGGCAGATTGTTGTATATATATCACGCAGTTTGTTGTATATATATCACGCAGTGTGTTGTATATAAATCACGCAGTTTGTTGTATAGAAATCACGCAGTTTGTTGTATATATATCAGGCAGTTTGTATATATATCACGCAGTGTGTTGTATATCTATCACGCAGATTGTTGTATATATATCATGCAGATTGTTGTGAATATATCACGCAGTTTTTTGTATGTATGTCACGCAGTGTGTTGTATATATATCACGCAGATTGTTGTATACATATCATGCAGTTTGTTGTATATATATCACGCATTGTGGTGTATATATATCACGCAGTTTGTTGTATATATATCACGAAGTTTGTTGTATATATATCACGCAGTTTGTTGTATATATATCATGCAGTTTGTTGTATATATATTACGCAGTTTTGTTGTATATATACCACGCAGTTTGTTGCATATTTATATCAGTCAGATTGTTGTATATATATCACGCAGTTTGTTGTATATATATCACGCAGTTTGTTGTATATTGCGGTGAATTTTGGGTAGAGTTATCTCCCTTAGACCGATAAACGCGCCGACAACCTGGATGTGGCATATCGGCGAGGCCTCTTATCATCTTGACATACAACGAACAACACGTGAGTGATTTTCTTCCACCTTGTACTTGATTTCAGGAGCCGAGAGCACTTACAACTACTTGTTGTGACGGTGTGTGAATAACACACACCGAATTCTCGTCAATATATATCACGCAGTTTGTTGTATATATATCACGCAGTTTGTTGTATATATATCACGCAGTTTGTTGTATATATATCACGCAGTTTGTTGTATATATATCCCGGATTGAGATCTGTGGTTTGGCTTGTATCTTAGAGTGAATCGCATTGACACATGTAATGAACAAAACACTAGCTTGACCTAGTAGGATGCCATTGTGATGAAACATTCTATTGCAATGCTGCCTTCCCTCCTATTTTACACTATAATATTTTTAAGAAAATTTTCAAACTATGTCCTACTTTATAAATTCATTGTTTAATAAAAATGTCATATCTCAATCGTAACTGTTCTACTTACTCGTGTGATTACGTAAAGCATGAGAGTTAATTGTATTTCATAAAACTGTACAATTGTGTTTCTTTATTGTGTGTTTGTTGAATAAGAACATATGTAGTGTTTAAGCTAGTTTGTTCATGCGATTTTTGTGAGAGAGATTTTAGTTAGCTATTTAATCAACTACTTTCGGTATTAAAAAAGGGGGCCTATTAAAACTTGTATGATTTAGACAGAGAGCATTGTTTGTCTTTTATTTTAATATTTTTAGCATGTAATTTAAAACAACCTTCATTCAAACGTTTTCACAACATTGCGTTTGTAAGTATTTATCCATTCCCAAATATTAAAGTGTTTTTGTTTATGAAGAATTGTTTCCATTTATATTTCTAGCACTTTTAGAGATGATATCACACGATTTATTTTATAAAGACAATCGAGCACACTAAACTAGAATATCTGTTATATCCAGTGTTGTAACATTAGAATATCTGTTATATCCAGTGTTGTAACATTAGAATATCTGTTATATCCAGTGTTGTATCATTAGAATATCTGTTATATCCAGTGTTCTAACATTAGAATATCTGTTATATCCAGTGTTGTAATATTAGAATATCTGTTGTATCCAGTGTTGTAACATTAGAATATCTATTATATCCAGTGTTGTTACATTAGAATATATGTTATATCCAGTGTTGTAACATTAAAATATCTGTTATATCCAGTGTTGTAATATTATAATATCTGTTATATCCAGTGTTGTAATATTGGAATATCTGTTATATCCAGTGTTGTTACATTAGAATATCTGTTATATCCAGTGTTCTAAATTAGAATATCTGTTATATCCAGTGTCGTAACATTAGAATATCTGTTATATCAAGTGTTGTAACATTAGAATATCTGTTATATCCAGTGTTGTAACATATCAAGTGTATATAATCTACTAGTTAAGTTGGCCTGGAAGAAAGCACAAAGAAGGATGTTTTGTGGGAGGAAGCCAGAAGAGCCGCAGAAAACCCATCATCCCAAGCCGTCTTAGTATAAGGCAATCGCGTTGTTCACTGCTCTACCTGACCATCATATATTTCACAGTATCATTAAACTGTATGTACTTCAACAAGATATAAGCATACACTACATACATGGAGGCACGTCCTTAAATGACCTTCTATATGTAGCTGTTAATACGATGTTAAACAAAATGAAACAAACCAAAATTACATAATTAATTATTGAGTACATCTTGACCTTTCACATACATTTAGGTGCGACTAATCATCTAGTCACGTTTACAACGGTATAATTGGCCTTTTGATTAGGTAACTCTTACTTTTTGTTTATTGTTCGATTTCTACTTTTGTCTGTAGTTTTTAGTTCAGTTAGTTTTTCTGAAACTGTGTAACACATACATGTGAGCCTTTGAAACTATAGCTATTGCCTCTTCCTATTTGCCGCATTTTAGTTAATATATAAATTAAATGTACTAAATCTGTTTATAATAATAAAACAATGCCACTTTTCATTTTAACATCAGAATGAAATACTTATAAATGCAAATTTTCATAAAACGATGTTAACAGGTGCCCTATAGACCACGCCCACCGAGACACGCTTTAGAGTAATCGCTGGCCCTGGAGGCGGCACTCAAACAGAGTGACATCTGAAGAGGACACCCTTATTATCTTCACAGCTGACCACTCCAACGTGTTTAACATCGGGGGCTACACACAGAGAGGTGACCCAATCCTCGGTAAGTCTCTCTCTGGGAGTCTCTCTGTGGGAGTCTCTCTCAGGGAGTCTCTTTCGGGGAGTCTCTCTCGGGGAGTCTCTCTCAGGGAGTCTCTCACATGGAGTCTCTCTTAGGAAGTCTCTCTCGGGGAGTCTCTCTCAGGGAGTCTCTCTCGGGGAGTCTCTCAGGGAATCTCTCTCGGAGAATCTCTCTCGGGGAGTCTCTCTAAGAGAGTCTCTCTCATGGAGTCTCTCTCGGGGAGTCTCTCTCGGGGAGTCTCTCTGGGGATTCTTTCTGGGGGAGTCGCTCTCAGGGAGTCTCTCTCGGGGAGTCTCTCTCGGGGAGTCTCTCTTGGGGAGTCTCTCGGGGGAGTCTCCCTCATGGAGTCTCTCTCGGGGAGTCTATCTCGGAGAGTCTCTCTCGGGGAGTCTCTCTCGGGGAGTCTCTCGGGGGGTCTCTCTCAGGGAGTCTCTCTCGGGGAGTCTCTTTCGGGGAGTCTCGTTCGGGGGGTCTCTCTGGGGGAGTCTCTCTGGGGGAGTCTCTCTCGGGGAGTCTCTCTCGGGAAGTGTTTCGGGGGGAGTCTCTCTCAGGGTGTCTCTCTTGGGAAGTCTCTCTCGGGGAGTCTCCCGGGGAGTCTCTCTCAGGGAGTCTCGGGGACTCTCTCGGGGAGTCTCTCTCAGGGAGTCTCTCTCGGGGAGTCTCTCTGGGGGAGTCTCTCTCAGGGTGTCTCTCTTGGGAAGTCTCTCTCGGGGAGTCTCTCGGGGAGTCTCTCGGGGAGTCTCTCTCAGGGAGTCTCGGGGAGTCTCTCGGGGAGTCTCTCTCAGGGAGTCTCGGAGAGTCTCTCTCAGGGAGTCTCTCTCGGAGAGTCTCTCTCAGGGAATCTCTCTCGGAGAGTCTCTCTCAGGGAGCCTCTCTCGGGGAGTCTCTCTCAGGGAGTGTCTCTCATGGATTCTCTCTCAGGGAGTCTATCTCGGTAAGTCTCTCTCAGGAATACACAAAGATATGGACTCCAGTGTGACAGCGTATCCGTCTCTCATGGAGGTGACAAATGTATTTGCTGCCATATAAAGTGTGCTTCTCTACCTTGGTAATTCTTTTCGTGATGAGTGTACTAGGCACGGTATTCTAGTGGCAGGACGCCGGGTTTTTGACCAAAGGGTCGCGGGTTCGAGTCACGCCACGGCATGTGTTGTATCCTTGTACAAGATACTTTACTCCGCTTGTTCCAATCTTCTCGACTGTAAATGAGTACATGGTTGGGCAGTGCTGGAATTGTTCAATGCTAGCTGTGATCGCCGAAATGGAAGCACCGGCTGTATGTTCCCAAGGGAGTTGATACAGATATTGGTTGGTTGCAAAGGGCTTATAACCACAGATATTAATGTGTTAACCGCTTTGAGACGACCTAGGACATACGTTGTGAAAAAGCGGTATAGAAGAACCTCCAATTAGTATTATAAGTGGCTGCAACACGATATAAAGCAGTTTGCTAATTGGAGTTTATTAAAATATGGCTTCACATGACCATTAATTGTTTCTGTGTGACAAATTTATTATTTAATTTAAGCTTACGCTGAATATACATGTTGTAGTTTTTAATTATTTGGTTGGTCGATCCTATATTTTATAGGCATATCTCAACCGCAGTCCGATCAGCCGCCTCTCGATGGTCTACCAATCACTATACTGAACTATGGTAACGGTCCAAATAGAGTCCTCCACGGATCCAGGGTCAATCTCACCGGCGTGGACACAGGTGAGCTTGGAAATATTATCTCCTAATTTTGATTTTGTTGTGTGCACCAGTTTGTTTTGTACATTTTGTTTCTCAAAATTGAAAGCACATGTTTTTTCAATTATTTTCAACAATCAATGCCCAGTAAATGACCTGTTCCCTCACACCACTTCACAACTTGTACATAGATTTTTTTCTAGGACAAAAATAAGGTAATGATCCTGATCGCCACTCTATATATAATCGTTATTTACAGTAATGACATACGTGTACCTCATATCTTCCTGATCATGTTATTAATAAGGATTTTATTCAAAAAGCTTACGTTAAAAAAATAAGAACGTGTTTATTTAATGTCACACAGGTGCAAAACACTACCTTCCTGAGAGTGCTATCCCTCTGGCCTACGAGACCCATTCTGCAGAAGATGTTGGGATATAAGCTCGTGGTCCTATGGCACACCTTTTGTACGGCGTCAAGGAGCAGCATTACGTTGCGCACATGATGCAGTACGCTGCGCGCGTCGGCGACTTCAGAAACTGTGTTCGAGACGATGTGAATTACGGACGACAACTCATGCCAAGTCTCTGGGTTATCTTCTTTACGATGTATTTGAAATATCTAACCAACGTTTGATGATAATTTCTGTCGGGGGGATAGATTTTATATAGTCTCTATATAGCGCGTGTATTAAACACGAAATTAATTCTATTTACGTGTCAACATATCAAAGGGTTTAACATAAAATATGATTAGTTTCAGAATCCCTGCCCCACTGCACTCTATTTATCGTATATTCGGTAACCTCCCCTTAGTTTGTTTTTTGGATATCACTGTAGCACAGTACTAGTTTGGCAAGAGCACTTCCGTTGACCAGTGAGCTCAGTCGGTTTGAACGATAATGCAATAATTTTAAGTCAGGAGTTCGAATCTCGGTCTAGTTCCGCTGAATATTTACAATCAGAAAATTGTTGTTAATTATTTAGTATTTCATCTCTATTATTTTTCACGAAAATGCCGCAATGAAATGTTTTCTATTCAAACCAAATCACCGAAGCTCAAGTCTTGGCGGCAAAATGCATATTATGAGTTGTTGGCAGTCGGACGGTGATCCTTCTTTTATTCATATCGATTTAATTTATGTATAAATGAAGTCTTATCAAAACATACTAATATTTACGCGTAATTCAAAGATGTAATTTTAGAGTGTAACATAAGCCTCCTTCAACGTCAAAAACGGTCAAAACCAACATAGGCCTCCTTCAATGTCAAAAACGGTCAAAAACCAACATAAGCCTCCTTCAACGTCACAAAACGAACGTTGCCTATGTAAGCCTCCTTCAGCGTAAAAAAACACCGGTCAAAACCTATATCAGGCTCATTCAACGTCAAAAAACGGTCATAATCTACATAAACCTCCTTCAGCGTCAAAACAAGGGTCAAAACCTACCTTAGCCTCCTTCAAATATAAAAGATAACCCTTTAGCCGTAGAACATGTATGACATAATGAATAAGGTCATATCTGACCACGAATAAAGGCGAAGTCCAAAGTTTGTAAACATTGTATAGCCATTCATCCAGTCAAGTCAATTGAAAAATAAATTCATATGTTTTGCCCATCATGGGCAAACTATTTTACTAGTAGTTTTCTAAATAAATTGCCCTCAATCCCATTGATTTGCTACTCAAATATCGTTATACTATATTACAGTTCTTAGAAACCGAAGGACACAGAATTTAGAGGTTGACAGGCTAACAAAATACAACATGAATAACGCAAATCATGGCGGGAAAACATTTCGGACTATCCATTTAAAAAAAACAAATAAACATTGTTTTCTTTGATAAAACTGTAAATATCTTACAACAATTGTGAAAAAAATCCTTAAACGTTTATCAATCACTCTTGTTGGCCAAATTGTAGCGCACATGATTTCTTAATGTAGTAGGAAAACGGAGTACCCGGAGGTACTATACTTATATTATACCGGAGGTATTTAGAGTTTTATACTCTAAAATAGTATACAACTTCATTAATATATAGCCGTTTGCCGTAACGGAAAAGAAAGCTCTCATAATAGGAGAACGGATGAATCCTTCAATTTAGAAATGAAATGTAAATTTCTGATAGGGTTGTTGAACAAGTAGAAGAGACAACGTTAAAACGTTGTCTATATTAATTCTTGTGATATTTCGGAATCATATACAAACTAGGCAGATCCGTATCAACTTCAATTGGTAGCTGGAAAGATTATAATACAGATAAAAATAGGAAAATGTATAGGTAGGGATTCATGTTGTTATCAAGCGAGCAGAAAATCGTTTGATACAAGATTATAGTGTGTATTGACGACAATATGTATAATGAGAAAGTGGTAGAATAAGTTTAGATAAAGTCTTTGTTTAGTTGCTGATGCGAAGCCATCAGTTCAGATTGTGTCTCTGTGCGTTGACGATATGGTACAGTAAGTTATTTTTTTATTTGTATTGATTTTGTGCAGCAATGTGCTGAGATTGCGTTTTTGTGTTTTTGTATAATAAAGATGTGGTGCGTAGGGTTCGTATGGTACTTTTAGTGTGTTGACATTGTCGTTCATGTACAACACGAGGATTAAAAGTATCCGGCAGACCGGAATTCGAACTCGGGACCTGCTGAACTCCAGACGGATGCTCTAACCTACGTGGTCGCTGGCGATCGACCTAACACAGTTCCGCTACATTTCTCCTTCCTTCAACAAAGTCTTCGACCCCGATACTACACTATATTCAATACCACATTCCATAGGTAGTGTATATTTAGGTGAGCACTAAATGCAACAGGAGATTCATAAGGTGCCTGGCTAGACCGGGATTTGAACCTTAGACCTCCGAACTCCAGACGAATGCTATAACAAATTGCTACATAGCCGCCGGTGAACGACTCAGTCCAGTTCCAATACACATAAACATGTATTGTAATATACGTTAGTAGATATTAAGGTGTGACGGGAATTAATTAAAAAAAAAGATATTGTTGTATTTTGTCTCTTGATAATTGCACATAGAACGCTGACATAATCTTATTATATGAAAACAAAATAAAACTTTGTTATTGCAAATTTACTTGAATTTAATGCACTCAAATGATTTTGATTTTGTCAAAACATTGATTCATTTAAAAAAATCCGACCTGATACACTGTGTAATTAACAAACACATCTTCGGCATGAGCATGTGCTGGCAATGTAGTCGTGTTTAAATGCAAAGTACCACTCATTTGGGGGACAGGAGGAGGGCAGCGTTCGTTTTTCCCTCTCAATGATAGTTTCGTGTGAAGCATCTGCTTCGCGCTTGCGTCGCGTGGGGCCGTTGAAATCAGTCTCATCAAAGGTAGATGGGGTTGTTTCGCCAAGTTCGTCCGTCCCTATCAGGCAGCCATCTTCATCAGTGTAGAGAGCGTCACAGTAGACAAGGTACTTCTTCAGCACATAACCGCCTGGATCACATCTTGTGTTGTCTCCACAGCATCCTTCACTATAAGCACATCATTAATGTTGGGTAAAAATATACAATTATTATCCAAGATTATTTTTGTAAAGTGCATATTTGACGAGTGCCATAATACTGCATTGTACAAAAAAGGATTATGAGTGCAATGAATTAGTGCAATTATAAGACCTACCCAGCGATTACATTACACACGGAGATATTTGGAGCAATTTAACATTAAGGTTTCTTTTGATAACTCTGACAATCACGTTTTATATCGTTGAGAGTTTTTCTTCAGAAAATTCAAAACTACAGGTTTACTTTGGCTCGATTATGTTAACTTTCTGTGACGTTATTTGTAAATTCCACCGTTCGATCAGATTTTTATTTTGTATAAAGATATAATCCGTCGTTTGCAAGTAGGGTAAGAGATATGAGCATCAGTTCCAATTCTGCAGACCGTTTTGCACGGCTAAAAATCGAAAAGATATCGTCTGCTTTGTTAGATATCCCGTTTTTAACCGATTCATTAATTGGAATGTACATTACAAAAGTATGCCTATGCCATTTATAGATTATCACACGGTATTTTCAAGGTTTGCCGTGAGAACAACTTTCTCATCGCGAGCACGTGGATAAAATCGAGAGGCCACGGCTGGACAAACACTGAAAACACTGTGTGATAAACTGTATATCATCTATATCATACTACCTTATATATATTCTCCATTTAAAAAGGTCAACTAAAACCCATTTGTTCCTAATGACTTCTTATCTCGATTGTCAACCATCACAAATCCTCGGTCTGTGACACATGTAAACAAATAGAAGATTTGCGAGGAGGAACCTTAAAACCATGTAGAATCAATTTTTGTAAACAATCCTATCGTCATTTGCTTTTTCATATGTATTTTTACGCTTGAAATGGTGTTATTATCGTCACAATATTTTTTCGTAACTTTATATTGATTTGTTTATGACGGACTATTTTCTTACGCGGCTCACTTATGTGTGGAAATTACTACCGGTTTAAGAGGTTTTTGAGAAAATAGGTTCCCAAATACCGGGAGATAAAATAAATCCTTTCTCAAGTGCTACTCATGTTGTTCTCAAGTCGTTCTCAACGTCTTTGAGAGTACTCTCATATTGACAACCTATGGTAATGAATTGATGCTTTGTTAAATATCTCATTTTTTTACCGATGCACTAGTTGAAATTAACATTACAAAAGTATGACTATGGTTTTCTACAATATCGAATATGTGTTGATTTATATGTTCACTTATTTTAAAGATAGTGATATAACAAGAACTGACAAATCACAATTCTCTCTTAATGCATATCTTTAAAATACAGCCTTTAAAAACAACCTTCTGGTGAGAATATTTACCTATATATAGAAAATAAAAGAAATAAATAATCCAAGCTACACATACCTATTAACTAACATACCACTCTATAATATACAACCTGTAGAACAACCTAATAATAAAGATACCTGTCTGTCATGTACAACCTATTGATTTAAAATATTTATTCATACAACCTTTTTAATAAACTATTTGCTTAATTTGGTTTGTTTGTGCTTTACGTCGGTCGTATTAAAAGCTATAGACATTTAAGGACGAACAACGGTTTTTGTGGTTAAGGAAAACCGAAGTACCCGGAGAAACAAACAGACATGTGGTCAGTACCTATAGAACTAACCTGTTTATAAAAACATCTTTCTATCAGATACAACCTGTAGAAGTAACCTGTTGCTGAAAACACCTTTCTATCACATACAACCTGTAGAACTATCCTGTTGCTGATGACACCTTTCAATCGCATACAACCTGTAGAACTATCCTGTTGATGAAGACACTTTTCCATCACATACAACCTGTAGAACTAACCTGTTGATGAAGACACCTTTCTATCGCATACAACCTGTAGAACTAACCTGTTGCTGAAGACACATTTCTATCACATACAACCTGTAGAACTGTCCTGTTGCTGATGACACCTTTCAATCGCATACAACCTGTAGAACTAACCTGTTGCGGAGACACATTTCTATCACATACAATCTGTAGAACTATCCTGTTGCTGAAGACACATTTCTATCACATACAATCTGTAGAACTATCCTGTTGCTGAAGGCACCTTTCTATCATAACAACCTGTAGAACTATCCTGTTGCAGATGACACCTTTCTATCACATACAATCTGTAGAACTATCCTGTTGCTGAAGGCAACTTTCTATCATAACAACCAGTAGAACTATCCTGTTGATGAAGACCCCTTTCTATCACATACAACCTGTAGAACTACCTGTTGCTGAAGACACCTTTCTATCACATCAACCTGTAGAACTAACCTGTTGATGAAGACACCTTTCTATCGCATACAACCTGTAGAACTATCCTGCTGCTGATGACACCTTTCTATCACGTACAACCTGTAGAACTAACCTGTTGCGGAGACACATTTCTATCACATACAACCTGTAAAACTATCCTGTTCATGAAGACACTTTTCCATCACATACAACCTGTAGAACTAACCTGTTGCTAATGACTTCTTTCTATCACATACAACTTGTTGAACTATCCTGTTGATGAAGACACTTTTCCATTACATACCACCTGTAGAACTAACCTGTTGATGAAGACATCTTTCTATCACATACAACCTGTATAACTATACTGTTGCTGAAGACACCTTTCTATCCCATCAACCTGTAGAACTAACCTGTTGCTGCAGACACCTTTCTATCACATACAACATGTAGAACTATCCTGTTGATGAAGACCCCTTTCTATCACATACAACCTGTATAACTAACCTGTTGATGAAGACACCTTTCTATCACATACAACCTGTAGAACTAACCTGTTGCTAATGACGTCTTTCTATCACATACAACTTGTAGAACTATCCTGTTGATGAAGACACCTTTCTATCACATACAACCTGTAGAATCGACCTGTTGCTGAAGACACCTTTCTATCACATACAACATGTAGAACTATCCTGTTGCTGAAGGCACCTTTCTATCATAACAACCTGTAGAACTATCCTGTTGCTGCAGACACCTTTCTATCACATACAACCTGTAGAACCAACCTGTTGCTGATGACACCTTTCTATCACATACAACCTGTAGAATCGACCTGTTGCTGAAGACACCTTTCTATCACATACAACATGTAGAACTATCCTGTTGCTGAAGGCACCTTTCTATCATAACAACCTGTAGAACTATCCTGTTGCTGCAGACACCTTTCTATCACATACAACCTGTAGAACTTACCTGTTGCTGATGACACCTTTCTATCACATACAACCTGTAGAATCGACCTGTTGCTGAAGACACCTTTCTATCACATACAACATGTAGAACTATCCTGTTGCTGAAGGCACCTTTCTATCATAACAACCTGTAGAACTATCCTGTTGCTGCAGACACCTTTCTATCACATACAACCTGTAGAACTACCCTGTTGCTGAAGACACCTTTCTATCACATACAACCTGTAGAATCAACCTGTTGCTGAAGACACCTTTCTATCACATACAACATGTAGAACTATCCTGTTGCTGAAGGCACCTTTCTATCATAACAACCTGTAGAACTATCCTGTTGCTGCAGACACCTTTCTATCACATACAACCTGTAGAACTATACTGTTGCTGAAGACACCTTTCTATCACATACAACATGTAGAACTATCCTGTTGCTGAAGGCACCTTTCTATCATAACAACCTGTAGAACTATCCTGTTGCTGCAGACACCTTTCTATCACATACAACCTGTAGAACCAACCTGCTGATGAAGACACCTTTCTATAATATACAACCTGTAAAATCATCCTGTTGCTGAAGAGACCTTTCTATCACATACAACCTGTAGAACTATCCTGTGGCTGAAGACACCTTTCTATCACATACAACCTGTAGAACTTACCTGTTGCTGATGACACCTTTCTATCACATACAACCTGTAGAATCGACCTGTTGCTGAAGACACCTTTCTATCACATACAACCTGTAGAACCAACCTGCTGATGAAGACACCTTTCTATAATATACAACCTGTAAAATCATCCTGTTGCTGAAGAGACCTTTCTATCACATACAACCTGTAGAACTATCCTGTTGATGAAGACACTTTTCCATCACATACAACCTGTAGAACTAACCTGTTGATGAAGACATCTTTCTATCACATACAACCTGTAGAACTATCCTGTGGATGAAGAAACCTTTCTATCACATACAACCTGTAGAACTAACCTGTTGCTGGTGACACCTTTCTATCACATACAACCTGTAAAACTATCCTGTTGCTGAAGACACATTTCTATCACATACAACCTGTAGAACCAACCTGCTGATGAAGACACCTTTCTATAATATACAACCTGTAAAATCAACCTGTTGCTGAAGAGACCTTTCTATCACATACAACCTGTAGAACTATCCTGTTGCTGAAGGCACCTTTCTATCATAACAACCTGTAGAACTATACTGTTGCTGAAGACACATACAACCTGTAAAACTATCCTGTTCATGAAGACACCTTTCTATCACATACAACCTGTAGAACTAACCTGTTGATGAAGACACCTTTCTATCACATACAACCTGTAGAGCTATGCTGTTGCTGAAGACACCTTTCTATCACATACAACCTGTAGAACTATCCTGTTGCTGAAGACACCTTTCTATCACATACAACCTGTAGAACTATCCTGTTGATGAAGACATCTTTCTATCGCCTACAACCTGTAGAAATATCCTGTTGCTGAAGACATCTTTCTATCACATACAACCTGTAGAACTATCCTGTTGCTGAAGACCCTTTTCCATCACATAAAACCTGTAGAAGTAACCTGCTGATGAAGACACCTTTCCGTCATATACTATGCAGTAAAAAAGATATTAATGTAGATACTTAGCCATGATACGTAAGTGTAGAATAACCAGCAAATGTCAATAATATGTACCGCTTTTATAACAATCTGAAGTTAGAAATGCATCCACCGCACACATCCTTTA